TCTTATAAAGATGTTGATATGCATTATCCATAAGGCATATTCTTTGAGGCATCATTTCAACAGTTAGGATAGGTTTTAGTTAAACTGTGCCATCTGTCTTCCAGACCCCTTTGTGATGAATGGCAGAAATTCATGAGTTGGCCAGCCTAGATTTAGAGCATGGTCTCTGGTTATTAGCCCAAGAGAAGCCAAGTGGCCAAATAGCCACAGTCTCTATCTTAATAGCCTAATACTCCTAACTAAAATGATAAGCCAGCTATTTTATGACTAATGCTACATCTTTATGTGCTTTAAGTCTGTCTTTGTTTAAAATTCTTTAGCAATGAAACGTTAATCATCATTGCAAGTCAGGTATATAAAAGTGCCATTTTCTCTTCATCTGATCAAAGCTAGTTTTGTTGTGTTTCCTGGAGAAATATAGATGGAGAAGCAGCTGCAGCCTGGTGACAGCCATATTCATCATCCCTCTGTCCTTCTTAGGGAAGAAACATCCAGGTGTGAACTTTAATTGGCTTGTAGAGTTTAAAGTCTGGTCCAGTGTTGAGAGACCTGCCCTTCCCTTAGGTCTTCCCTGGTTAAAACAAGGTGCTTCTAGAGCCAAAACTGATGCTTGGTCCATTTTAGTTTGGCAACTTCTGCCCATCCTAGAAAAAAACTGAGAAGCTGAACAGAAGGAGCAGAGTCTTTCTTGATGTGTTTCATCAAGAGATAATTTGCTTGGACTAAACTTGAGCCAGGCATAAAGGCTTTAGAGCTGTTTTGATAAGGTAACCACTACCTACACTTTAAAACCAGTGCTTTAGTCATACCATCCACATTTCACATATAGCTAGTGGCTACTCTATTGGACAGTGCAGAGTATAGAACATTCCCATCATCACAATGTATTCTGTTGGATAGCAGTGTTCTAGAACAGGAATTGAAAATAGATCATCTCCCTTGTTACTTCTGATTGATTGGTGGTTGCTTCCTGAAGGACTATGTAAGGAAGATTCTGAGGCCCTATCTGAATGAGCCCTAAATTGTTTAATTATTTGTTAGCAATGTACGTGCTAGGGAGACAGAGGTGGGTGGGGTTGGAGTAGTTGTGGTACTGGTACGAGCGTCTTCTAGACAAAAACCACAAAAATGAGAATAGAATATTGAAAGTAGAGGGCTAGGTTGTTATTACCTAATAGAGGCAGGTGATTTTTTTAGCAGGAATCTTTTGGAAAAATAGATGAGAAGCTTTAAGAGTTTTCTTATTCCTTATGTAATCTCTTATTTAAGTAGTGGTCACTTCTGCTGTTCCTCAAAGTACATTAACAGTGTTGCTCTGCTTTGTATAGAAAGAAATCACAAGGGCTCCCATGTCTTGGTTTATTCATGAAATAAGGAATGAATGTTATATGAAAAACAAAACCTACCCAGAGTCCAAAATTGGTTCCATGTTCATGCCGCCTTTTACTGTGCACTGTACCTGCTAAGACACAAAACTGACTGAGGATGATGTTTCTTTGCTTTATTTCATTACTCTTCTCTGGTAAAGGGTAACACATGGGAAATAAAATTTAAGAGAAAGAAGGAAAAGCTGCTGTAGTTTGGTATAATTGCTGCCTGTATAATCACTGTATTCAGAATTTATGGTCTGTATCTGATATTACTTTCAACAATCCCGAATAATTAAGGGTAAGTAGGACTGTTGCCCTATTAGTTTCCAAACTAGAAAATGGATTTTAAGATAAGAGTACCAGTTTTGCAACTGTTATGTGAACTTAGCAATTACTTACCAAACCCCTCTGAGCCTTAGGTTCTCCGTCTCTGAAAGGGAGTGTAACAGTATCAGCCTCTGTGAGGAATGGTAAGAAGTGAGGCACCACTACTGTAAGGACTCAAATTCAACCATATTTAGAAAGAATATACCACATACGCTTGTTCTAATCGTGGCCCTGCCACTTAGTAGATATGTGACTTTTGTCTAATTGCACACCCTCTCTAGATTTTAGTTTTCTCTTTTGTAGAATGGGAGAAACAGCAGAACCTACCTCAGAGGGTTTGCTCAGGTTACAGGGGTCGGTGCACAGCAAGGTACCGCGAGGACGTCTAGTACATGGCACCTAGTAATCAGTCAGTAACTGTTAGCTATTATGATGAAAATGCCAGTGTTGAAATTGGGCAGCCTTACCAAAGAGAGATTTACCAAAATTGGTATCTCTTCTCCTTCCCATTCACTAGTCTCCAAACTATACAGTTTATACTAAACATGGTAAAGTGTGTACATTTTGTTTATTTTATTGCTGTTCCACTGTAAATTATTAATAAGCCTCTTTTATTAGGTTTTTGGCACAACTGACTGAGGTGGTAACTGGAGAAGCCGTTAGTTATCATAAAGACCTTTCTCACTGTAGTATTTTTACAAGCTCATGCCTAATTTGAAAGGCCGGGTGTTTAAAGCCAGGAGTCAGAGCAGGAAAGAGGAGGCTCGTTGTGGCGCAGAAGAGTTCAGTTCTGCAGCCAGTCTGTTTGACTGTCTGAGAACCTCATTTGTGTTGCCTCCAAGGTGCAGGAAGAAGTCGGGGCTCTTCAGAGATACCAGGGCTAGACAATACTGCTGTAAACTGCCCTGAAGTCTTCCTTGTCCTTTAGTGGGTATGTATCTCTTCTCCTCCTGGTAGCCCCAGAAAGGGGCAGAAATGATAAGCCAAGATTGGCTACCGAGGCTTCTTTTAAAAATGCATCCACCCATGTTTTATTGCCCTTGTCTAGCTCGGATTAGCACATAGTCTACAGGCACACACCTGATCATCTACAGTTGCTCTCTTACAACACTAAACTATGTTTTCTAACTTTATCTTGCATCTACCTACCACTTCAGCATTTTATTAAAAATAATAATAATAAAGGGAGAAATGTGGAATCCACATATAAATCAAGTATAAAAATCAAACGAATATTCATATTTGACCTGATTGTTTATAGTTCATAATGCGTGATCAAAACCGAAAGTTTCTGTGATGACTGCCCTTGCACTGTTCACCATGTAAGAACTTACTCACTATGTAAGAATTCGTTCACCATGTAAGAACTTGTTCGTCATGCTTCAGAAGATTGGAGACTGACGAGAATTAGGCTTGAGATGGATTAATGATTGTGCATTGAGCATTGACCCCCCTATACAGAATTTTATTGTTGTTAACAACCATTTGATCAATAAATATGAGAGATGCCCTCTCAAAAAAAAAAAAAATGCATCCACCCTAGAGAGTACGGCCCGAGTGTCCCTTGCCTCAGCCTCCATAGACGCTAGCAAGCACTTTTCACTTATGGAAAATTGCCCTTCAAGAAAAGCACTTGGGTCCTTTAGTATGAAGAGAGTCCTAGGCTGTTGTCACTTCTTGAATTCTGTAACTAGGAATGAAGCACTATATTGTTGCTAAAAATGACTTTTTCTTCTTTCAGAATTTTCAGGGGCTTTTTAAATCCAGAATTCTTCTATTTGTAAATGTCAAAATTATTAGGTTCTTAGGACATTTTATAGGAGAACATTTTTCTTGGTATTTACAGATCTCTACAGTATCTCACACCCAACACCATGCATTCAGCTTTGTGTCCTCCCCTCTTTTCAGCATCCACTGTGCATCATACTGTGAAATGCTTGTCAAACCATCCTCTCTTCTCTGATTCCACTCTTACCACCCAGGTTGTAAGTTTACCACCTCACATCTGTATTTCTCATAATAACTTACATTTTTTTCTTTTGGATTATGAAAGTAATACATGCCTGTGTGTATATTACTACGGGATGTATATCCATGTGTGTGCGTGTGCATAAAGAGATTTGGATCTGCTCTCTGCAATTTCATATTGTGATTTTTTTTAACTTGAGATATCAGCACGGTTTTAATCACTAAGTATTTTTCAAAAAATTCTAATGAATACATAAAATCCCCTTATATGGATAAAGCAAAATTTATTTAATAATCTTTTAGCTGTTCAGATCTTCCTCCTTTTTCAATATCAAGATCAATGCTTGTTTTCAAAATCTGTTCCCAGTACAGTGTCGTGAGTAAGAACATGGGCTTTGGCATTCCAAAGACAAGATAGCTCTTGCCAACAGAATTATGTCAGTGTACATGGGATGCATGTTTTGTACTCATTTACACAGATATTGGCACATTGTAAGTTCTTCTAAATAGTAAATTGTTATAATAGTCACCATCATTAGTCATCTGTGATTATTTTTTAGCGTAGTTCCTGGAAGTTAGATTATAGCATCAAATAAACACATATTTTGATACCTTTAATACTATATTGCCAAATTTATTTCTAGAAAGATTCTATCAATTTATAGTCACATGAAGAGTATTAAGTACTTATCTAATATCACCCCTTGCCACGCGTAAGTACTTTGTTTTATTATTATTGTATGTCAGTGTAATAGACAAAAGTGTTACTTTGATTATTATTGGAAATAACATTTTAATAATTTAATTGGCTGATTATATTCCTTTTTGTAAATTGTTTATCGAAGTCAGTGCCCATTTTTCTATTGCTTGTATATCTTGTTTCTAAATCAGTGGGTTCTATGCAAGTTATAATTATTATTTTGTAACTAAAATTTATTGACCATTTAGAACTTTCAGATGAACAAACAAGGGCCAGAATGGCTAAGTAAGTAGTTTGCCTAGTTCTTAGAACCTTGCCTGGCACAGAGTAAATACTCAGTAAGTATTTGCTGTTTTTGTTATTAAGCTTTCTATTTCACAGCACCTGGCGCAGTACAGTGCTTTGCACACAGTAGGAGCAGAATAAATGCTTAACTTACATTGACTCTAGCCCCCTCAGTTGTGCTTTTCCATATGCACAGAAGCCAGCCTTTAATGTGGGCCATTGTCACAGCCACCATTAGAGCTCAGATGAGTCGGTACCTCTTAGACTTTACTTGATTTTCCCCATATGTTTTTAATGATACTTTTCTAAATCTCTGTAAAATCAGGTTATTTCCCTCATTTCATTTCTAGGTAACAAACCTGAACATGGCAAGTGACGTCACAAGCAGAAACAGTGCTTCAACTCCCCCAACCCTTCGACCAGTCATCAGGCCTAGTGGCCCAACTTGCTCAATACAGTCAGACCCTCAAGCTCCCGAGAGCCACTCCACCCCTCCTGGAAGCAGGTATGTAAAGGGCCATGGTGCTAGCATTCAGGTCACAAAGGGACAGCTTGGGTCCTGAGCAAACCCTTCCCGCCTGGAGCCCCCTGCACAGACACGAGTAAGATGGATGCCTTTTCCTCTGGCACTTCAATACAGAGCCTCATTTTACTTGTAAGACAGTTTGTGGGCAAATCAAGTGAAAAGCAAATGTCTGATACAGTTCACTTCCGGGTGAAGAGCAAGAATTTACGCTCTGTGTGATCCTTGCCTGTCCTGTAGTCAACGTTTCCATGTATTGACTTCTGACATTTTCTCCTTATCTCCTAGTTCTTTTTTATGTTTTACATTGTGTTTCAATAACTCTGGACTCCTTCCTTTTGAAGAATATATTTTTTTATGTTTTCATCTAAACATTTATATAAAACTCAAACTGCCTCCCTAGACAATGTCCATTTGGGAAGTGGGAAGGAAATTTCCTTTATGTAGTTGAGTGAAGTGGCAGAGGATAAAATCCAAATAGGTTCTGGCCATGAAGTAAGCAACTTCTGAATTAAAAGAGAAATAATGGTGTTAAATTCTTGTCTTCACCGTGTTTTCAGTCCTTCCATATAAAAAATACAAGAAATGGATCCCCAGTGTATCGTACTTTCAAGGTTATTAAATATAGGGTTAATTGCATCTGTCCCTTAGTCAAATGTGACTATTAGAATGAAATATTCTGACCAGTTGAGATACTGTTCCTTCCAAAGACACCCTGCCTCAGGTGTCCTACCAAGTCCCCACCCCTTGGTCAGCACTTCCAGCCTCTGCCAGCTAGCTGTTTCTTAGTCTGCTACTTTGACCTGAGGTTGGGAGAGGTGACCAAAGACTTGAGCATGGAGGAAATACCTAATTGTTGTTAAAGTATCTGTTACTGTTAGAATTATTACTTCAGGAACTAATTTGGGAATCAGAAACTCTGCCCAGGGAGCTCCATAAACATAAGCACATTACATCATGCTCTGGTGCAGTGTCTTTCATACCAGTAATCATTGTGGTCAAGGGTGAAAAGAATCATCTCAAGTGAGATTTATAAAGAGTTGAAGACCAAGAGGCAGGACTTTTTATGACAGGACATCTTCCCACACAGTTCTCTTCACAGAAGTCTGTCATTTGGTGATTTACAATCTACAGAACAACCACATTCCTAAAACAAAACTCATAAAAAAGAAACTCTGTTTATACCATAGAGCTTTATTTTCCATATAAAATATTTCCAAATACTCCATTTTCATTTTAGAATCAGAGCCTTGTTTCTATGGAAAACATTTTCCCTGTAATCTTGGATATATTATCTATATGACAAAACTACAACCATTTTCCATACTATAAACAAAATGTCAAGCTACACAGTTTGGAGAAGTGGAGTTTTATCATTTTTTATACTTGTAGATGGAATGAGGGAAATTTTTTAAATAAAAATTACAACCGAGTTTAGATTCTTCTCTTGTTAGCACCTAGTAGTGCTGAGATACAGAAAGATAAAGGTCCGAGTCTAGCACTGAGTGGCCTTCTCCCAGCTAGCCTGTGCTCCTGAGCTGTGGTAGATTGGCATGCTGTACAATCACCTTCAGAGCCACTGGCACCAGAAAACAGTCCCCACAAAGTCTCCTGGTCTTTTCCCTTGAAGATTTGTTATATGCACAACAGCCCTCTGTCCACCTACTCCTCAAGCTTGAGGGCCAGTTTGCAGGTCCTGTTCCAGTTCAGCGTGCATCGGCCTGGGACTTCTTCCTCTGCCTCTGGGTAACCTCTGGTTACCGGGGCAGCCTGGAGGCTCAGCTTGGGAGTTCTAGTTCCATGCAGAATTCCCAGAGGTACCCACCCCAAAGCAGCCCTAAGTGAATTTTCAGAGTTCCTTCCAGACCTGGCTCTGGTGTGGCCCCCACCAGACCTCCAGCAGGCATGCCACATGGTACCATGCCCCCTGTCCCTTTTAACCTGGCAAGCCGCTGGTGTGGGTATTTAGTCTCTTTTTGTTCCTCCCTTATAGTAAGGGTGACTAAGTCTAATAAACATGAGAATAGTAGCTTAGAGATGTGAGTTTTATTATGGGTTTTGCTGCTAAGTGACCCTAAACTATTCATCTTTTTACTGGGTAAGCATACTTAGATACAAACTGGCCTGTTTTGAGAGCTTTTAGATTGGCTTTAAAGCACTTTGATCTCCCTGGAAGTGGATGCTAAGTAAATAAAAGGTGCTCTTACTAGTTCCTTTACAGTGGTAACAGTGCATTCCAGTGCTGATAAACTCTGATAACTCACTAAACCAGGGGCTGCCCTCTAAACAGTAACAAGAGGTAAAGAGAATCCATTGCTGGCTCTACTTTTCATCTACATATTGGAGGATTCAGTGACTTGGTAGCCACAGGAATGAAAACTGGTGACTCACAAGAACTCTGCAAATAGTGTTATTTTTCATTTCCCTGTGGTGTTGCTATTGTTCTCAATTTTATGGATCACACAAGTTTTCACCAGACAACCTTGTTCTTCTCCCGCTGTTTTGAAACCACCCCAAATGTAGCCTCAGGGCTGTCATCTCCCATTGGGTCAATGTGAGCTCAGGCCAGCTCCTCAAATCCCCTGGTTCCTTTGGTCTGTCTGGAGTCCCTGTTCAAGCTTTGTTGTGGGAGAGGGAGGCAAAGAGCCCACGACTTGCCCAGACAGTCTGAGGCCTGGCCATGTAGCTTGCAGTTCCCTAGACACTCTGGAGTTGGACTTGGCCAGCCATTCCTCTGTTGTTACTTTTCAGAGGTAATAAGTGAGATTAATTGCAGGCCATTCTCCAGGAGAGAAAATAGTCAGGGCCAAATACAGTCACATGTTTAAAAGTCTGAGGTGTACTTCCAAGCAAGGCCAATTTAGAATTATACAATAGGCCTGCAGGGTGCAGGTACCAAGTGTTCGTGACCTTTTTTCTTAAAAGGATCATGTTTGGTTTCTAGATACCTAGGTATTTAAGCTTTTCTGTAGCCAATGAGATGGGTAGGGATTTTCAAGCCACCTTTTAACTATTCATTTCCCGGGCTCATGGAAAGTTAAGAGCTGAGAATCCATTTGGAGAGACATCCGTTATTGCGTGGAGCTAGACCACGTCAGAGAGGGACATTCTCCAGGTGAGGACCAGGCGGTGGGTTCATGCTGCATCTTTCTTTCTGAGACCTGGAAGGGTTACTGTAAAATCTTGGCTGCTTCTTGGAATGATTTAGGAAGGACAGGGCCTCAGACGGCTTGGCAGGAACCTGAGGCCCTGTTTTTTTCCAGTCCAGCCCTTCCTTGTGGATCGAGCTGTCAGGGAATCCCACGAATGTCTGGCTTCTGCCCCTTTGTATGTTTTTCCAGCATTTGTCATTGAATTATTTTTATCCATCTCTGGCTTTTTCACACATATAACCTGGGGATTTGTCTGTTCCTCGATATTGAAGGTGGGGAGGTTGGAAGTGCAGCCAGGAGTTTGTCCCTCCTTCCGTGACTGGACAACCGCACGGGCAGGGGCTGCTTGGCCTGACTGGCCCCTCTCTACACAACAGCTGTATGGCAAAATTTTAAATTCTGTACTGGGGAATGGGATACAATGAAGCACCACATCTTGGAAATTTGGGCCATATTTCATGTCACTCTGTCCCTCTGCTCTCTAATTCTCCAGTAAAAAATTATGGAGAGTCCAGTAATAAAATTATAGATTGTATATTTCATATATAAAGGTACCCTGCTTTACATAATTTTTTAGGAGCAAGTTTTTTAGAGATTCTATTCTAGTTTAACTAATACTTTTCTCCCTTTTAGATAATTTCTTACAAGTGTTGCTAGAGATTTCCCATCTTTTCATTCCCAATCCGTCTGACTTCCCATCTTTTCATTCCCCAGAATATACACATGGAACAATTAGCGAGCAGTGTCAGGCAGCATTTAGCAAAGATTTAAATTTTATGGCCCAGGCAGTCAGGAGAAGGAATATCAAGACAAGTATATAGGGATTTAATCCTGTCACATGTTACAAGATGGGTGAACTTTGAGGACATTATATTAAGTGAAATAAGACAGTCACCAAAGGACAAAACCTTTATAATTCCACTCATATGAAGTATCTAAAGTAGTCAGAGTCATAGAAACAGAAAATAGAAAGGTGGCTGCCAAGAACTGGAGAAACAGGGGATGGGGAATTAGTGTTTAATGGTTAGAGTTTCAGTTTTGCAAGATGAAAAAAATCCTAGAGCTCTGTTGCACAACAGTGTGAATATACTTAACATTACTGAACTGTACACATGAAAATGGTAAATTTAAAATTGCATGTCTTTAATGCAAACAAATAAAAATAAAAAAGAATAGGAGGAAGAAGAGTTTGTAAGGATTTAGGAAAGAGCCCCGTAGCTTGGCAAAAATTATTCAGTGACAGAAAAGAGCCAGACTTTGCTTGTATCCGCTGCCTCTCCCTGTAAGGGCATTATTCTGAACCTAGTCTGTTAAATGCTTCAGTTTCTTTAAAAGCATGTTAAATTTATAAAAAAGGGGACCATCGACCCCTGTTAGGAAGATGGCATGATGTAGTAGAAAGAGAAAGGACTTAAGAGTCAGGCAGACCTGGGTTTACCTGACTCAGTATGTGACCTTGGGCGAGTTACTTAGCTTCTCTGAGCCACAATTTCCTCAGCAGCTTAAATATGCAAACAATGCCCACCTCATTAAGTTGTTACAAGATTTAATTGAGTTGTGTCTGTGAAAGTAGCCAGTATAGTGCCTAGTTTGGGAGTAGGTTCTTAAACTTAAAATTGGATTTGCTTGGGATATGGTATTGCTCCACCAGTTAGTTTGGTATCTAATTTAGAGGAAACCGGCCATCACCCATGCGGTGTGCTCCTAGAGCTGAATTGCAGAAATGTGGCCTCTGCAGCTGAGGAAGGGAAGGCATCAGAGGAGGGCCAACTGGAGACTCTTGCTTTTCCTCCGAATGACCCCTTTGTTGAAGGGTGACTTCTTTCTACT